TGTGCCAGCGGGTTGCGGCTGATCAGCAGCTGCAGCACGTCGCCCGCCTCGGCCAGGAGCGGCACCGCCAGGCAGCAGTCGAAGTCCCGCGTGCGAACGTGGTTGACCTGCACGGTGCACAGCCCAGGGGACAGACTGGCATCAGCCTGGCCTGGGCTGAAGGAAAAATCTAGAACACTCACACAGGGGAAAGCATTCTTCATTTAACGTTCAATCCTCTGGTGGGTTTAATCAAAGGGAAAGTCCCAGGGAGGTGCCGGTACACCCTTCGCCCCTCTGACGCCTGTTTGTCGTGAAAGAGCACACATTTGGCCTCCTGCCTAGAACGGTGTGGCCATGCCCTGCTGCTATTTCATTTGTATTTTGCACTGGCCTTCTACTTCACGCAAACAGTGTCAGGTTTCCATTCCTAAGAGTCGAAAAGTTTCCTTTTAAAATCAATTTAACTTGAAAAAAAGTAATCAATTTAGAGAAAACATATATTCGATAAATTCAGCACAAATGTGGCAGAAATCACACCAAGGGAACAAAAGTAGCTGGGGCAGGGGAAAGGCAGCCCAGGTGGCTGGGCCAGGATGCCCATAACTTTCCATCTGCTCATCTGCATTTCCCAGTCTCCCTTGCAGTTGGTGAGGTCACATGACTAATTCTGGCCAATAGGCCATGAAGGGGAGTGAGAGGTAAAGGCAGAAAAAATCCCATATGCCATTTTCCAGTCGGGTTTCCCCTGCTGTGGTGTCTGAGGCAACGACAAGAAGGGGGAGTCTCCGTCAGCCCAGGTGGAGCAAGGCTAATGCAGTCCAAAGTGGACGTGTGTTAACACTATGATACAGGGTTGCTAGTTACTGCAACAGAACTGAGCCTAACCTGACTAATATGACTGGTGTCGTCATTCCCTTTTCACAATGAAGGAGCTGGGGCTCAGAGAGGGGAGGTGACCTGCCCAAGGCCACTCAGCCAGGGTAGAAGTGGGGACTCTTTCCCCAGCCCAGGGCTAGGAAAGACCACTCCCCCGGAGGTGCCTGCTGCAGCATTACCTGGAGGACCCTGTCGAAGGGCTGGAGGCCCCCACGCTGGGCGGGCCCCTCGGGGCGCACAGTGTGGACATAGACACCCTTCTCCAGGAGGCCGTCTGAGACGCTGAAACCAAAGTCATTCCTCGTGGGGTCCTTGTACAGGGTCACCTGGGAGCAGAAGGAAGAGGAGGTCCCTGGAGTTGAGCTACGGCCCCAACTTCCCACAGTAGCCGGAATCCTTGGTCTGGCGTTCAATGTCTCTGGGATGCAGTCCCCGCCCAGAGGCACTCCACATGCCTTTTTGCGGTGCCCATGGAGGTCCCCTCCCCTTCTGCACTCAGCAGGCCCCAGGCCCCAGGTCGACGCTCTCCATCACAACAGAGGCCCTTCGGAAGGGAGTTCCTTTCAGTTCGTTCAGTCCTCTTGCCTCCCCCCGGAGAAGGTCTCAGTGGGTGCCCACGTGTCTTCACTACCCCTAACACTTGCCCATCCCCCAATTTACCCAAGAGCTGGCTTCAGGCTCAGAGGTTTCTGAGGGCTATCAGGTGAGAGGTTTTCTTTCTCCTCTGTGTTATTCTTTCTATATAGTAACCTACAGATGGCAAAAATGCTGGCTTTTTACTTAAAAGTAGTAATAAATATATACACATAATATGTAGAAGCCTATACACACAGTAACTTAAGTTGAGAAAAGTGAGTCTACTTAAAGGAAAATATTAATAATAGCCCAGCATGCATCACAGGGGTGTGTGTGTGTGTGTGTGTGTGTGATGGGAGTTTTGAGAAACCAGTACAAAATCCCCATTTCATGGTGGAGGAATGAAGGCTGAAGAGAAGCAGGCCCATCTGGAGCCCATGGCCAGCCCTCATGGCACCAGGACACACGCCCAGGCCTCCTGTGCCCCCCCACACCCAGCACCCACCTTGTGCATCTCCAAGGGTGTTGGCAGCAGCAGCTCCTGCATCTCCTCCGGGGAAGGGCGTACCTCCCGGCCCCTCCGCCAGGGCCGGTGGCCAGGCCTGCCCTCAAGGGCCACGCTCTGCACAGTGCCCGTCATGATGGATGCCTGTGAGGACACAACCCTTCACTCAGACACTCACTGTTCTCAGTCACCTCTTTGGACACCTACTATGTGTCAGCCTTCAAGGTCACAAAGGTGAGGAGCATAGATGCGCTGCTGCCCTCCCGGGTCTCTCAGGGTTGGTCACTCACACCAGCAATCAGAATAACCATCCTTGGCACTGAATTAGCTCTAACTCTGTGCTGGGCTCAGTTCTAAGCACTTTATACATCGAACTCATTTTATTCTCTACGGTATTACAAGACCAGCAAATGCCATTATTTTTCTCCACTTTACAGATGAGGAAACTGAGGCTCAGAGAGACTAAGATTTGAACTCAGAGTCTGGCTCCGAAGTCGAGGGTCTTAATCACTCTGTTACCTTGTTAATTGCAAAAACAAATAAGATAAAGTTACACACGGCAGTTAACAGTCACAGAGGCCTGGTACATGGAAGGTGAGGACAACGAATCTGGTCCAGTGAGAGGTCAGGAAGCGTCCTGAGCTGAGATCTAAAAGATGCACAAGAAAGGGGGTGGGGAGGGAGAGGGCCTGGCAGGCAGAGGGAACAGCCTGTGCGAGGGCCTGCAATGGGAATCTAGAAGAAGGCTGGAGGAGGGGCACGGAATGAGGCTGCAGGTGAGGGCTTGATCCCACACACCCCTGGGACTACAGTGAGAAACATTAACTTCATCCCAAAGGCAATGGGGACACTCTGAAGGGTCTGTGCAGGGGGTGGGGGGCAGGGTCAGATTTGTGGACTTAGCAGCATCTGCCAGCTGCTGGGTGGAGACTGGGCTGTAGCGGTGGGTGTGGAAGCCAGGGGGGAGACCTGCGAGGGACCATGCAGTTGTCCAAGCAAAAGATGACCGTGGCCTGGACAGGGATGGGGACAGTGGGGAAGGACAAAAGGAGCAGACACAGGACACGTGTCAGAGGTGAAGCGAAGGGAGCTCTGGGAAGGGCGAGCGGAGTCAGAAATGCTGCACTCTAAGTGACCGCTGCGAGTCCGTGACCCTGAGCGCAATTTATTCACATTCAGACTAGGAAATCCACAGGTGGGAGTAGGGGGGCGCTTCTGGGGTTGGTGGGAGGGGAGGATGTACTTCTTACCCGTGATATTATCATTTCCTAGGCACAAGGGTATCTGCCCAGCCTAGAAACTTCTCTCCTGCCCATCACAGTATCTGAGATTCCACTATTAATATATTTTTTATTGATTTCATAGCAGAAAGGAGAGAGAAACATCAATGAGAATCATTGATCGGCTACCTCCTGCACACCCCCTACTGGGGATCGAGCCTGCAATTCAGGCATGTGCCCTGACCAGGAATTGACCTATGAACCGGTTCCTAGGTCGACGCTCAACCACTGAGCCACACCGGCTAGGCTCTGAGTTTCCATTATTAATACAAGGTTCTCTCTGACATTGGGGCTAGGAGTTTTGGTCTTTTAGAGATCCCCTAAGGACCAATTAGGGCCAAAGGGTTGGGGTGGGGTGGGGAGGAAGAGAGGAGAACAGGAGAGGATGTTGAATGAAGAGGCATAGAGGCACCTTTCTCAATTCTTACAGCTGTTCCTCACCTGCCTGGAGAGCCAGGGTCCAAACAGAAAGAACAGAGACTCAGAATCTTGGGGTAATAGAATCATTAAACAATGAAAGCAGGGTATATACCACAAGCGCTTGGACCCCTAGAACTGTAGAATTCTAGGACTTCCAATTAAAATGCAGACTGAGCTGATACAGAGAGCTCGCATCTCCCTCCAAATCTTATGGTAAATTAAAAATAAAATTTTCAAAATAAACACTTTCAAAGCAAAAAAAAAAAAATTAAATAGAGACAGACATGAGCAGGAGTAGAACCATTTGGCCTATGGAACCAGAAGTTAGGAGCTGGGGCACCCATTCAGGGAAGAGCGAGAGCTGGGGGAGTGCCATCCCTGAATGGGGACTAGAGATGCCTGCCTGCCAGCTCAGGGGTTCGGCAAGGAACCACCAGGACTGTGGGCTGGGAAGCCATGTGTGAGAAAGAGAAGCCAGCAGCGCAGGTGACCACTGACTAAGCATGAGCCAGAATCCGCCTTCCATAAACAGTGTGATAGAGACACCACGCTGAGCAACGAATGAAAAACTGGTGTGGAACTGATGAAGTTCAAAAGCCACCGCAAAGACCTCAGAGGCGCTTCAACAACACAGAGCACGTGCGGGTGCCTCCAGGAGTAACCACTGCTGAGAGTAAGCACGACAATGAAACAGAGTTCACCTGCTCATGAGACAGCGGACGAATGAATTTGCACCCAGTGAACTAGGGGGGGAAAGACATCTAAAGAAACTTTAAAATAAGTCTGCTTAAAGTACGCAGAAAAAATAAGAAAATGAGACATTAAGAGAAAAGACTGGGAAGAGTTGAAAAATAATGAGAGAGTAAATAAATAAAAGATGTGGAAGTGGAAATACAATATTTACAAAGTGGGCTAAACAGTAGATTAACAGCCAGGGAGAACATTAGTGAATTGGAAAACAGAGTAAGGGAAGCAACTAGAACACAGCCCAGAGGAAAGGTGCTCTCCAAGTATGAAGGAGCTGCGAAGTGACCCCATCGGGCCTTCCCTGGCTTCTCCTGGGCAGCCTGCTCCCTCACGGGCGGTGCTGACCTCATCATACAAGGCTGCACTCGCCTCTCAGCTCCTCGGGCTCCTCATTGCCGGTGCTGTAAACGATGTCGACATCCACAGGCTCCCACAGGGCATGCCCACAACCACGTCCACATAGGCACATGCACACACAAACACCAAGCTGTTTCTATGCATCCAAATGTGCACACTCAGACACACATGGTGTGAAAAGACACTCAGCCCTGGTGCATGCATGAGCATGCTCACATGTATGCATACACACATGATCCCAATGCACACGTGATGGTGCCAGACATGCTCACATGTGCACACCCCCTGCTGTGCCAACCACGATGCTCTCAGTCACACTTGCACTCATGTCCATGCACAGTCTGCACGTGTGTCCATGCACAGTCTGCACATGTGTGAAGATACCTTTACACAGAGGGTGCTGGGTGAGTGCACACATACATGTTACACGTGAGCACAATCCCATCAACATGCTTGCCTCCCAAAGGTGCACACACCAGTGCGCCCAGAGGCAGGTGCCCCACACAGGCCCGCAGGGCAGGTGGCCTACCTCCAGTTCCCTCAGCAGCTCTGACTGACCACACGACTCCAGGTCTTCGAGGGCTTCCCCAAACACGCGCCAGAAGCCCTCCTTGTGGGCAGGGCCGGAGGCTGGGCTGTAACGTAGGAACCAGAGAGTGTCAACTCCTGGTAGGCGGGTGGGCAGGCAGGCAGGCTGGGCCTGAGGAGTCTTCTAAATGGCCATCAGCGTTGGGCTCGAGGGGCCAGAGGGTGGGCAGGCGGGCATCCTCGGTGGCAGTGCTGGGGCCCCGGGGCAGTGGTAGGTGACACGGAATGAGGGGAAGACGCAGCTAGGGGCGGCCAAGACTGCCGGTCTTAGAACAGAGGCAGATGAGACGGGGTGGAGAGCAGTGACACAGGATGCCTGGGAAGAGAGACAGACGGAAGGACAGACAGACAGACAAAGAGGAGATCCATGGTGTAGCCCCAGAGGACGGCTTCTGGCCCCACCCAGACACATGGCACCATAGGACAGTGACAGGGACAGAGCTGGAGCCAGCAAGGACACAGATGGATGGAGAGGATGGAGTATTTGTGCTGGGGGAGGGGCTGAGACCATCCCATAACTTCCATCACAGGCTGTATGAGCCCATTATCAGCTCTAAAATCGAGTCTCATTAGAAAGGTAATAAGCCACACATTTGAGTTCACAAAGCCATCGGCCATGCAACAAGTCCTGGCTCTTTATAGCATATGCTATGATTTCAAAGCGCTTCCTCTCTCCCAAAGGCACACAGGCTTTCTTCCAGGGAGTCTCAAGAACAATAAAGCAAAATAGCTGCCTCCTTCCCTTCCCATTTTAAAGATGAGAAGACCAAGGCTGAAGGACATTCTCTCCATTTAAGTCAATTGTACAAACAATTGGCCTATGGAGGTGAATAAGGCAGGGCTCCTGTTCTCAGGGAGCTGAGGATTCAGTCACAAAGTGTGTATGAGCACCTACTGGGTGCTAGCACGGAGCTAGGGGTGCCACATAGAAGGGACGTAGAAGAGCCAGGTAATTAACCAGGTAGACACAGGTGGCTAGTGCCACTCAGGGGCTCACGCAAGCAGCTGTACCAGCAGAGGGAAGAATATCATCTGCCTGAGGAAGTCAAGCATTCCAGAGGCGGGGAAATTTGAGCTGGGTTTTGAAGGATGAGTAGGTGTTGGCCAGGAGAGGAGAGGGAAAGGTGTTTTGGGCAGAAGGAACTGCCAAACCAAAACATGGACATGGGCAGGGGTGGCCAGCATTCCTCCACAGGGCCAGCTCTCTGCAGGCGCCTCCTCCTTCGAGGGAGAGGCTGAGATCTCTGAAGCCAACATAACAAAAACCACCATATCCACGCGCCAGGGCTGGTGCCCATGACCCAAAGGGCCCTCGAGCCATCTGGGCTGAGTCAGGAGGACCTGGGTTTGAGTTCTGACTCTGCTGCTGGAGACTCCCAGACTTGGGAAGGGTGAACCAGGCTGCTTCCCACCTCCCCACCTTTGCCCCTGCTGTGCCCTCCACCCAGCGAGCTCCTCCACCACCTCAGCCTGGCTGAGAGAGTCTGCTCCATGTTTTCTCCTCTCCCAGGAGGAGCCCCTCCGTGGGGCGGACCAGACTCTTCCACTGCCTGCACCACTGCCGCACAGGGACCACGACCCTCACCATCCTGCCCAAGAGACCAGGACTGTCTCCTTCCTCACGGCATTCCCACCACAGACCTAGTTGGTGGCTCCCAATCCTCCTCTTCCTCCTCCTCGGGGAAGCTCTTGTCAGCAGGGGCTGGGGTGTAGCTCGTCCTCCGGGGCTCGGTGGGTGGGGGGCTGCTTCTCAGCCGGCTGGGCTGCCACTCCTGGGGGTTCACAGCCCGGGCTGTCGTCTGTGGAGTGTAGGAACCTGGCAGGTGGAGACGGGGTGCCTGCATCCTCTCTGTGCCCTTCGCGTGCCCTCCTTCCCAATCCATCTCTAGCAGCGCTGGGCGACCCTGAATATGTCTGTGCCCTCTCTGGGCCAGCAGGACTACCCAGTGTGCCCTCAGGGCTCCTGCCACCCAGGTCCCTATCTGAGAAACCCGTGACTTTCCCAATCCTCTGGCAGAGGAGTTAATGCCTGGGGCTCCAGGACCCTGCCCCAGCTCCGCGGGGCTGGGATGGCTGATCCCCTGCTGAGAGGAGGTTCAGTATTTTGACCATCCTTCTCTCCCTGCCTGTGAGCGCTCGGAGGAGTTAATGCCTGGCGCTCCAGGACCCTGCCCCAGCTCCACAGGGCTGTGCTGGCTGATGCCCTGCTGAGAGGAGGTTCATATTTTGACCATCCTTCTCTCCCTGCCTGTGAGCGCTCTGAAGGTCCTGCCTGGGGTGGAGCTGACAGACACTGACCAAGTGCTCGAGATGGGAAAGCCGGGACCCAGAGAGTGAGGCCAGGGCTGGGAGCCACCGAGGCCACCCAGAGGCATCACACTAGTTCCCTGAGCTGAGCTTTAGGGAGTCCCTGTGGCTCTGGGTCACAGAAACCAGAAGGCCAACCACCGGACTCAAATGCTCCCTGTCCCTCCCATGGGTCTCAACATAGATGGATGGGGGCATCTGGTCCTAGGAGGGCACCCCAGAGGTTTCCACCCCAGGCTGGATGGTGTAGGATGGGGGGGGAGGGGCTTCCTGCCTTTCCATCTTCAATTGGATGCAGTGAACACTGATGGAGCACCTGCTGTGCTGGCATCAGGCAGGGATGAGAGAGACAGCAGGAGTAAGACAAGTGTGGTCTCGGACCTCAGAGTAGGGTGCTGTGGAAGCTACTCAGAGGATGTATGAAGGCCTGTGTCCGTGATCTGAGGAGCGAGGGGCCTGAGAATGGCTAATGGGGCCCAATCAGATCTGCCTTCAGGGAAGGTGTCCCTAGAGGATGGAGCGAGGAGCGGAATAAGGAGGCCTCGGCCCAGGGAAGAGCCCTGCAAAGGCCCGGCAGTTGGGGAGACCCTTGTCCAAGGGCTCCGAGGTGTTACCTGGGCACCCAAAGCCACTCTCTGTGGCCGAGCTGTCCCAGGACTCCAAGGCGCTGTCCACGCTCGGCACAGCGGGCGAGAACCGGGCCGTCAGCTGTCCTCCTTTGAGTGCCTCTGGTGGGTCCTCATCCGCATCACTGGGCTCGCTGAAGCTGCCTGACTTGTGAGGTGCGAGTGGGCCTAGGAGGAAAAGGGGGGTGAGAGTCACTGCCACTGGCCTCTGACCTCGGAGATAGAGATGCTCAGAAAGCCTCAGTTTCCCCACTGGAGTCTGGTGTGGGAATCCACAGGCACTGAGTGAGCCCCCTTAGCCTGCTGCTGGGCAGTCTGACAAGTGGGAGGTACCACACTGATAGACAAACCCATTTCACAGATGGGAACACTGGGGCTCAGGGAAGCTGAACAACATGCCCAAGGTCATGGGGAGCAGCAGTGGAGCCCAGATTAGAAGGAAGACCCCGAAGCTCAAGCTCCTTCCACTGTAGTCCTGCCGAGACACACGGGACAAGTCCAGGGGGAGCTGAGGAATGCACAAGGTACGGCCACAAGGTACAACAGGCAGTCTTAAGAGGCAGAAGGTGATGAAGAACAGGGTTCAGACCCAGACTCTGCCCCACACCAGCCGTGTGACCTTGGGCGTGAGCCCCCTTAGCCTGCTGCTGGGCAGTCTGACAAGTGTGAGGTGCCACACTGATAGACAAACCCATTTCACAGATGGGAACACTGGGGCTCAGGGAAGCTGAACAACATGCCCAAGGTCACATGGGGAGCAGCAGTGGAGCCCAGATTAGAAGATCCCAAAGCTCAGGCTCCTTCCACTGTACTCCTGCCGAGACACACGGGACAAGTCCAGGGGGAGCTGAGGAATGCACAAGGTACGGCCACAAGGTACAACAGGCAGTCTTAAGAGGCAGAAGGTGATGAAGAACAGGGTTCAGACCCAGACTCTGCCCCACACCAGCCGTGTGACCTTGGGCCCACCTCTCCCCTCTCTGGGTCTTGTCTCCTCAGTGTCTCAGGTATCCTCCCACCTCCATAGGGGTCAGCAAGGATTCTGTGAGATGGGGCACAAAGCCTGGCCCAGAGGCACAGAGCCCTCCCTTCTTCAATGGGCTGAATGGTCCCAGGGAGTGGGGGGAGGCTCACGGTCTAGCTGCTTCTTGATCTTCAGTGTGACGGTCTCACCAGCCACCTGCAGGAGGTGGATGGCCTCACTCAGTGGCCGGCCCTTGAGGCTAACGCTGTTGATGGCCAAGATACGGTCCCCAACGTGGATAGCGCCAGTCCTGGGGAGGAGGCACAGCGCAGAGGGTAAGATCTAAGCACTCAGGGTTTCAGAGTGAGGAGATGCCCTAGGAAAACCGGGAGCCCAAGGCACACGCCTGGCTGACCTCAGGTAAACCCAGCTGCAAAAAGCCAGCAAGTGTGACTGTGAGTTGCATTAACCGAAGTATAAAGTCTAGAGTCTGGGAAGGGATTATCCTGCCTAACTCTAAAGTTAGGTTCTAGAACCAATGTCAAGCATGAGTTTTGAGTATGGTTTAAACCCCACAAACTAGCTGCCAAGTTCTAGCTACATGACCTTGGGCTAGTTTCTTAACTTCCCTCTGCAAAATAGGGGTGACAATACATATTTTATCAAATTAGTATTGAAGGCCCTAACCGGTTTGGCTCAGGGGATAGAGCGTCGGCCTGCGGACTGAAGGGTCTCAGGTTCGATTCCAGTCAAAGGCATGTACTTTGGTTGTGGGCACATCCCCAGTAGGGGGTGTGCAGGAGGCAGCTGATTGATGTGTCTCTCTCATCGATGTTTCTAACTCTCTATCCCTCTCCCTTCCTCTCTGTAAAAAATCAATAAAATATATTTTAAAAAATTAGTATTGAAGGATGGATGAGTAGAACGGGTTAATGTTTCCATTCAGCAGAAATACATGGGTAGCTGTTCCCTCTCCCTGGGCCTCAGTTTCCCCACCTAGAGAATGAGCATAATCCCAGGGCCCAGGGGTTTTCTGCCCGGAAGCTATTAGAATAACCTGAGGAGCTGTTTAAAAATGCAGATGCTGGGCCCCACCCCCGAACAATTAAATCTATGGGACTGGGGCGGGGGAAGGCGATTCTGAGGAGCAGCCAGGACTGAGGGTGGGAGAGAAGTTCAGCATCTGCTGAGGATGCACTTGACCCAGGTGGGGGAAAAAGAGGTAGAGGATTGGGGCGGGGGCCTTAAACCCCAAACTTAGATGTTCCCTCCCCCCAGGTGGGAGCTCACAGCAGTCCATCCCGGAGTGCCCTTATCTTCAGCTTTGCCCAGCAAGCTCCGCTGGGGCCTGGGGAGTGAGTGAGTCAGGGAACGGCAGATTTGGGGAGGGAGGTCCGAGCTGTGCCACCAGCCACGGGTGGCTACCAGGCCCCTGAAATGTGCTGGCCTGAAATGAGATGTGCTGACGGTATAAAAGACACACCAGACTCTGAAAATGTGGTATGAGCAAAAGAATGTAAAATATTGTGTTAATAATTTTTGTGTTGATTACATGTTGGGATATTTTAAGATTCATTTTGTTCCTTTTTGCTTTCCTAATGTGGCTACTAGAAAGCTTATAAATGAATTGGTGGCTTGCGTTATATTGCAGTTGGACGGCAAGCTAGATCAGCCCAATGAAGGCAGAGGGAACTGTGTGTTGCGTCCCCATCCCCGGTCCCCAGCCCCCAGGCACCCAGAACGGGCTGGCACACTGTAGGTACCCAGCAGTCTACCAGATGGCCAGCAGGGGGCGCTCGAGGAGCGGGGACGCCACAGGGAGCTGTCCTGCGGAGTCTCCAATCCTGCTGCTGCACCCTCTCCTTGTGTGGCCCCTCCTGCACCGTGTCCTCCAGGGACCCATCGTGCCCCTCCAGCCTGGCCAGGCTCCCCCTTCACAACCAGCTCTTCTCAGTGCTGGGAGCTCGCTGCCCAGCTGAAGGGAGAATGCACCCTCTCACCCACGCTGGCGTGGCCGACCTGTGAATCCTGTGGGGCCCCTTCCACCTCGGTCCCAGATCTATCTGCTCCCCCAACCAACCCAAGAACCTGGGACATCCCCTCTTCCAGCTGCCACAGTTTTGGGGACACTCTCCAGGGGAGAGGATAGCAGGGGCAGGAAAAGTCCCAGGCTGTGCCGCGATCCGGGTGCTGGGACCCAGGGTACTGGGCACGGCCCCTGTATATGAAGGCACACAGGTGCTCCAAAAAGGCTCACAGTGCTGACTGCCCCGCAAGGGAGGCAGCAGAGGGATCAGCACATCATCCAGCACTGACCCGGAGCTGGGAGGTCTGCAGGGCGCTGGCCCGACTGTGGAAATGAGGCTCAGAGAGGGAAGGGACAGGCCCCATGTCCCCCAGAGCATAGATGCTGGAACAAAGGTCAGAATCCGGTCTGGCTAATCCCACAGCCCAGTTCTGCCCCTGGCCCGCCGAGTGTGTCCCCACAGAGCCCCGGCTCACCTCTCAGCCAGACCACGCTTGGTGAGGCCGGAGATGACAATGGGGTCAAAAGGCTCCTCCGTGCCTGAGATGGTGATGCCCAGGGGGCCCCCATAGCGTTTCAGCTCCACCGTGTAGCTAATGGCGCCCGTGGTTTCCTGCTCATCTGCAAGGGGGACACCCATCAGGGGCAGGATCCAGCAGAGCAGGGTCCAGGAGCTGGGTACCCCCAGCTCCCCAAAACCTTGGTGCACTTACTCACTCATACTCATCCATTCACTCATCCATCCATTGACACATTCATTCGTGCTGTGACTGCAGATGGCGCAGCCTGGGGGCCCTGAGCCCATCTTCTGCCCCCAGAATGCTTTCTTCCACCCAAACACCATTTAGAAAAAGAAAGAACAGGAGCGTGGAACAAACATTTTAAAATGCAGATTTCACACGCCACACGGAATAGAAATAATGATTGTGATAATGCTAATCACGATGAGAAGAAACCAGATTTCCAACTTTCCTTAAAAAAAAAAAATCAGCCAAGAGACCCTCTTGCCCAGGCAGCAGTTGGTGACTGCCCCTCTGGATAAGGGATTTGCTCTTCAGTGGCCCAACCCTCACCCTTCCCTTTTGCCTCCCAACCTGTACCGTTGCTCTTACCTTCTGTCAGTTCACTCGCTTATGTCACCGTCTGGCCTCAGCTGTGTCTGAGTTTGCAGGGTTTGCTTATTCACTCGCACATCTACCCAGAGTGGTGCATCCCGCCTTTCACTCACACCCCACCCGCTCATCTCTCACAGCTGCTCCCCGCGGGCCACCCCTGCCAGGCTTTGTGTACGGCATGGGGGATCCAGCTGGTGACTCATACCCCTCGGACTCACAAGGGCCCTGGAGGGCCCCAGGGACAGTGAGGAGTCTGTGGTGCCGCCCCTCCCTGCATCTGTCCAGTCAAGGAGTCTCCGCCAGCCAGCTCTCAGGTGGCACCACCACCATCCCTCCCAGGCCAGAGGGAGCCCCGAATTGCAAGCTGGGAACCGCTGGTCTGGGGGACCTCGAGAGGTGGCAGGGCAGGGTGGGGCCATACCAGAGTTGTCCTCGTCCTTCCGGATCTTCAGCTTCACCAGGTCCTCACACTGCCGCAGGATCTGCACGGCGTCCTCCATGGCACAGTTGTCCAGGCGGATATTGTCGATGGCCAGCAGCTTGTCCCCTGGCTCGAGGGTGCCAGTCCTGCGTGAGCAGGGGTGTGTGGCAGGATGGAGCCTGGCATATGCCAGTGCCCTACCCACCCACATGGCCTACTCACCCCACCCCAGGCCCAGGGGCACCCCTACCTGTGTGCCACACTGCCTTTCTTGATGTCAGAGATGGTCAGCGGCTCCCCTCGCTTCCTGCTGGCCGCTGGAGGAAGAGAGGCCATGACTCAGTCTGGGGCAGGGGGGACCCAGGATTGGGGCATGGACGTGGGGCCACAAGCCCTGCTCCCACTGCTGCCTGGTTGGGTGGCTGTGAGCAGATCAGCTCACCTCTCTGTGCCTCAGTTTCCCTTCTGCAAAGTGGAGGTGATGCCACACACCTCATAGGGGCATCCTGAGATTAAACTAGATACTGCAGGTTCCTGGCACATAGTAGGTGCTCCATCCACATCAGCCATTTTTTCCTCTTGCCCATCCCCCAGCAAACTGTGAGCTCCGTGTGGGTGGCTGGTGTCTGTGTTCCCAGCACCTGGCTCAGGGCTGGTACCCAGAACTGCATGATTCTTCCACAATGGCCTGCAGGGAGTGTTGGCTACTGACGGCTCACCACAGGGTCCCATTCTGGGAACCCCCTTGGCCAAGGGAGTCGCCTCACCCAAGGTCATGCCGCTCCTGGTGCAGCCTACATCCAATGGCTGGTCCAGGAGATGATGTACAGGCCCAGCTCCAGCCTCAGCTCAGGGCAACTTGCAAGGCCTCCCAGCTGAGAGCTAGCTCTCCAATGGGATTGGCTGAGCCTCTATTGCTGCTGCACTGCAGCTTCACTTCTCCCTGTGCCCAGTCCTGTTCCCTCATTGCAGCAGGTGTTGATCTTAAGAGACCTCCTCAGTACACCCCCTGCATGTAGCTCCTTGTCTGAGCAGCTGTTTCCTGGGGAACAGGGCCGAAGGCAATGTGTGTGGCAGGAATGGCTAGTTTTCTTGAGAAAAGAATCCATTTGGGCTAATGGGTTTCCCCGTTAGTGAGCAGGTGGTCGGATTGCCTCCTAGCCTGTATGGCATCTTCGCAGATGAGACAAAAGTGCCCCTTCCAATCACTCCAGAGAAAAACGTAAGAAAATTCTAAGTCTACCTTGAATGGGCATCCCTGTGTCAAGTACAGCCTGTGCCACTGCACCTGTGGCCCTGCCCGGAGGTGCCTGGGCTGGAGGCAGCTTCCCGCTCCTGGATGGCTTACACTCCCACCTCCATCGACTGCAGAGCCCTTTGGGACAGTTTCCCCTCCCTCAAGCCCTGGGGTGGGGCGGAGGATTATTCCACACAGGAACGCAGTACTGGCCACCTGTTCTCAGAAGGCAGTCCTTGGGAAATGGTGTCCCAGCGTCCCTTGTCTGACCTGTGGTCGGTCCACCAATGTGTGTGCTGCCCTCACCAGATGGACACCTGCCAGGAGGCCACCTCAGCAGGGCGGTGGAGGTAGTGATGCTGTGGCCAGGTGGCTGGGGTCTCCACTCCCCTCAACCTATCCTTTTCCCCTTTGAGTCCCCAGGATAGAGCTGGGCTGCGCCAGCCTCCTGACTCCCAGGCCCCAGTCAGCCTCATTTTCTCAACTCATCAATTCATCCTATAATTGTTCATTCATTCATTTGATGAAAATTTACTGAGTAGCTACTATGTGCCAGGAAGGAAAATAGCAGTGAACAAAACAGACAGAGATCCCCGGCCTCCTGGAGCTGCCAATCTAGTGGGGGTCACAGATAATCAACACAATTTAAAGGGAGCATGTCAGGTGATAACGCGTGTTGTGGAGAAAAATAAAGGACAGGGACCATGCAGAGGGCAGTGCCATTTTAAATCAGGTGGTGGGGCGGGCCTTGCCAAAGTGACAGGTGAGCAAAGGCCTGCAGGGGGTGGGGAAGAAGGCAGAGGGAGCAGCCAGTGTGAAGGCCCGAGGCCGAGAGGAATACAGCCTGTCCAGGGGACAGCCCGGAGGCCAGCAGTGGCTGGAGTGGCCAGGGAGCTGGCAGGAGGCAATGTCAGAAGTCACAGAGACCAGGTCACAGAGGGCTTCATGGGCCCTGGGGAGTTCACCCCATTGGACACCCCAAAGGGCCTGCAGACTCCCATTGAGCAGAGCAGAGACCAAGGCTTTGAGAAGCTCCCGTCTTGCTTATGGAGAGAGCGGGGCAGTGCAGGGCGCAGGGAGCCCAAGCAGCGGGTCCTCCCACAGAGCCTTTCCCTGGGCCAGGAGGTGTATTCTTTCTCCCAGCAGGCGGGCTCACTCGGCTCTCAGGGGCAGGCAGGGACGGTAAGGAGGGGACAGTATGGCGGGGAGGGGACTCACAGCTGATGGTGATGCCCAGCTCCACACCGCGCCTCTTAGGCAGCTTCACGTGGAAGGTGCCGCTACTCGGGATGACAGACTCTGGGTACAAACAGACGTGGACCCACGTGAGACCCAGCCCCACATCTACGCCCGTCCAGCTGGGAGGGACCAGCCCCATCCTGCTTCTTACACCCGAGAGACGTGAAGACCGAGGCACGTGAGCTGACAGATTGGTTCAAGACAACCAAGCCACCCGGTCAGAGTGGCACCCGGGGACTGGAACCCAGACCTCGAGACTGCCAGCGGGGTTTCCCCATAGCCAAGCCCAACCCAATTGGGCTCCAGTGACGATTTCCTGAGCCTGAGCTGGGTGTTTTCACGTGATTTATCTCATCAAACACAAGCAACATCCCCCGTAGTGAAAGGATTCTATTCGCTATTTTACAGTTGGGGAAACTGTGTTCTGTCCAAGGTCACATGTTGTCCAAATCACAGGACCAGAATTCTGACCTGAGTTCGGGTGCAAAATCCACCCTGACACTGGTGAGTGTGGAATGCCTTCCTCCAGCCAGTGCCTTCCTCCCCACGGTTAGTGCTTAGGCGCGCAGCTGTGCCCCAGGCAAGAGCAGGGCCGAGAGGAGGGAGCAGAGGGCTCCAAAGCGTGAGGAGGAGGCGAGGGGCACGCACTCACCCGCCACGTCGAACTCGATCTCCAGCACGACCTTGTGGGCCAGCGCAGCATCCCGCAGCAGCTGGTTGGCCTCCTCCATTGTCCCGTCCTCAGTGGCGATGCCGTTGATGGACAGCACGCGGTCCCCCACCTGCAGCAGCCCACACCTGAACCCCGGGCAGCCCAGCAGAGAAAAGAGGCCCCATCACTGGCACAGCTCCGCGGGGAGCTGGCCCACCGTGCAGGTGTGCGTCTCAGCCCTGCCCCGCTCCAGCGCGAGAGCCTCAGGCAGTTTACCCTGTGGCTCTGGCTAAGGGTCTTTGCTGGGCCTCAGTTTCTCTGTCTGTCCGATGGGGGTGATGCCGTGCCTTACAAGATGTACAGATAGAGGACTCTGACCTCCGACTGACAGGGGCGCGAGTCCTGTGACCCTGGGCCAGTGAATCGGCTTCTCTGCGCCTCGGTTTCCTCATCTATCACAGGGGCTGGTGACGAAGTCGATGTGATGGGTAAGTGAGATAACTGGTGAAGCCAGGCGTGGTGGGTGACTCAGTTTCCCCTGGCTGTCCGTGAGCGCCCGCCGAAGAGCGGCAGGCCCAGTGGGGAGGGGGCAGTAGGCTCACCTCTCGGCCGGGCTGTCAGGCTCGATGAAGCGCACCAGGGGTGGGGAGGACAGGGTCTCGGTGGCGAAGATGCCGCCCTGGAGCTGGAGGCCGAAGCCGCTGAGGGGGTCGCCGCAGAGCACAACCTCCGTGGTCTCTGTGTGCACGATCTGCCCGCCTGGCCCCACGGTGCTGGAGGCCAGAGACACTGTGGGGCAGGTGGGCACGGCACTCAGTGGGCCGACCCAGCCAGGCCTTCCTGTGGGAGCCAACCCAGCCCCGGGCCCAAGCACCTGGAGTCAGAGGGACAAGGCAGTGGGAGTCCTGACTCGCTCTGGTGCAGCCAAGTCATGGCCCATCCTGAGCCTCCGTTTCCTCATCTGGACCACGGAGTTGTGATTCCCACTGGGCAGGGCTGTGGCAAGGGAGGGAAGAGACCACGGCTTACATGAACTCTTGTGCTCCCTTCTTCGCTGCCTCCTCCGCCCCATTGTGGTCCGGGGGCTCATGGGCTGGGATCCACGGGGAAGGGTGCTGGGGTTGGTGCAGGGCAAGGTGTGGTTCAGGACCGGCGAGGAAAATGGAGTCGAGGATAAGGCTGGGGAGATGAGAGCACAGCCCCGTGAACCCCGGCAGGGCCTCCCCCTTACTGCACAGGGGGTGCCAGGAGCCACCAACCACAGGGAGACACAGGGATGCCTTTGCCCACCCCCCTGACCACGCGCTGCGTGACCTCTGGGCCTCAACAACAGCAGGGTTTTCACAGACCCGGTGAAACCCAGCTGCCAGGACAGGGACCCGTCTCATCACTAATGTGCCAGGTGACGCTGGGCAGGCCCCCAATTTCTCTGAGCCTAGGTTTCCCCCCCACGAAACATGCACAAGTCGCACAGGTGGGCACGTTACATCGGCTCTGGTCTTGGCCGGCCGGTGTGGACCAGGTGGGCGTCGTCCTGTAGTGGCCGGGCCGGGGGCTGTGGCAGGAGGGCACACAGGGGGCCCAGCGATGTGGTTGCTCACTTCTCTGCACCTTCACTGTGGCCATTGGAGGATAGAGAGAGAGAGAGAGAGAGAGAGAGAGATTGATGGAGTCTGAACTCACCACGCCTGCCCCCCCGCCCCCCATGCTCCCATCTGCAGATGAAGTGAGGAAAGCAGGACCACAGATCCTGAGCTCCCCCTGAGCCAAGGGAGGCAGTCAGGGTTCTGCTCACGCGTCCCAGACGCTCATGATGTGCTTGCTGGGCACTGTGCTCAGGGCACAGCCATGGGGCAGCAGGGACGGGGAGGAAAAGCAGGCCCAGCGAGGCCCGCAGTGGGAGGTGGTGGAGGGAGACTTGAACTGGCGACTGGCTCTGGAGCCTGGGCAGCCTCAGGGTCCCAGGGCCTGGCCATGCCTGCCCGCTGCTGGGCTCTCAGGGCAGCCTGTGTGCCAGGGCTCCTGGGCTGGTGGAGTCTTGCTCAGACCTGCATCCTCCCCCTTCCACCTTTCCCAGGCCTTCCCCGCCCTGTGAATTCTTTGCCTCCAAGTCCATCTAAGCATCTGCTTCCCTGAGGCCCTCAGAGATCCCGCCTCCCCACCTGCCCCACCTGATCACCCAAACTGGCTGCCATGTACCACTTCCTCCCCGACTGCCCCAGGGCCTACTCCGGCTCTTCCTTCTGCCGCGGGGCTTTGAGGGGTCCAGTCCATGGAAGGAGGGTGAGGACCCGCTCTCTCAGCCCATTGATTCTGCCTCCCTGCACAGCGCCCCCACCCTCACCAGGGGCTTGGCGACTCTGGAGCCAGCTTCCAGGTCGCTTGGACAAGTCACGTAACCCCACTGTGCCTCGTGGTCACTATCTGTGCAATGGGACTAAGACAGTGGCCACCTCCTAGGGCAGTGATGGCGAACCTTTTGAGCTCGGCGTGTCAGCATTTTGAAAAACCCTAACTTAACTCTGGTGCTGTGTCACCTATAGAAATGTTTTGATATTTGCAACCATAATAAAACAAAGATTTCTATTTTTGATATTTATTTTATATATTTAAATGCCATTTAACAAAGAAAAATCAACCAAAAAAAGTGAGTTCGCGTGTCACCTCTGACACGCGTGTCATAGGTTCGCCATCACTGGCCTAGGATAATGGGGAGGGTCAGAATGAGCTGATCCATATGATGCCCTGAGATCCTCCAAGGGGACCCACCTGCCTCTGAGGGCTTCAGGGGCCGCCGACTTTGGGGCGCAGGCAGGATCTCCAGTTGCACTTTCTCTGACACACTGGCCAGCAGCTTGGTGGCCTCGAGCAACGAGCAGTGCTCCGTGCTGGTGCCGTCGATGGACAGGATGTGGTCTCCAGCGTGCAGCGCTCCACTCCTGGCCAGAGGAGGTGCGGGGAGGAAGGAAAGCTGGTCCGGGTGGCCTCTTCCCCTGCTACCCTCTTCACCATGGCAGTGCCCAGCATGTGCCTCACCTGTCCACCACGCTGGCCGGCTTGATGCGGTCGATGGTGATGACTGGCTTGTTCCGGTGGGAGCCGGCGGTGAGCGAGATTCCCAGGGCGGACCCCGGCGTCTTGGTGATCTCCACTATCAGGGGCCCCGAAGCATTGGCCACGGTATCTGGCACATGGAATGAAAGAAGAGTTTGAAGTGCAAATACCCAGCACGTTCGTCCCTAGCCTCACTCTGCTGTCTCGATTGAATCCTCATTGCCAGGTTGGGATCACTGCACCCATTTTACAGACTAGAAGACTGAGACGTGCGGAGGGGAAGGCTGTTTTTCTCCAAGTGCACACAGTCGCTGAACAGCGGAGGAGGGGCAGGGATCCGGGTCTGAGGGGCTCTGACCGCAGGGCTTTGCTGGACAATGCTACCTTGCTCACATTTATTGACAGCCTGCTGCATGCCGGCACTGAGTTGCAGTGTCCACTGCAACCCTTCCCCACCTCAGAAAACGGCCCCCCGTTGACCCGCCCAGCGGCTCAAAAACAAAACCTAGCTCCTCTGCTCTTGGTCCCACCACCATGTCCAAACGCCAGCAAATCGGGCCGGCTCGACCTCCATCACATTTCCTGAACCTGCCCCCTACGGTGTTGCTCCTCAGCCACCAGCCTGGTCCAGCCACCCTGGCCTTTCTCCCACCGGGTGGCTGCAAATTAGAAAGTCCCTCCCAGCCTTTCCCATCTCTCTCCCTAACTTTTTTTGCAGCACTTACTGACGTCTGACATACTCTCTCTATTGGACTCATTCTGGTTACTGCCCATCTCTTCCCACCAGAGCGTCAGCTTCATGAGAACAGCGACCTCTGTACTGTCCTCAGCAGAATGCCCGTTGCATCAAACAGTGCCAGGTTCATAGTGTTTATTGCCCAGATAGAGAAGCTGAGTGACTGGCCCAGGTCATCCAGCCTTTGCAGTGGTGAGGGTCGTGCCCACTACCCCCGGGCCTCTTCCTGCCCAGCCCTGGCCCGCAGGCCCCGGCTCACCTGGAATGGCCACGTCATACTCCACCTGGAAGAGCGCCTCGTGGCTGCACTGCCGCAGAGTGGCCAGGGCCGCGGCGAGGCTGGCCCCGTGCAGGGGGATCCCGTCCACGCTGAGCAGCCTGTCGCCCACCTTCAGAGAGCCCTCCCTGTGGGGAAGGGCCCGGTCAGCCACCTGGCCCGGCGCGAGCACTGGGCACAGCCCTGCCGAGAGGGCGTTGGGAAAGGTGGGCACAGAGGACAGAGGAGGGGCAGGGAGTGGGTGAGGGAGAAAGGGACGGGACAGGTGCGTGAAGGCATGAGGAGTGACAGGATGAGCAACTAGGCCTGTGCAGATGAACACGTGGGCGGGGGAAGACAGGAACCGGGTCCGCTCTGACATCTCCCACCCCACCTGGTGCTTAAGACATTCAGTCCTGGCTCAACCCTAGAATGCCTGAGGGGGATGGCCCTGGGGATCACCACGCCCTCCTGCCCCGGGGATAGACGAGCGCGCCAGGGTCCAGAGAGAACGGCAGCCCCGCCAGGGCCACATGGCGTCAGCGGTGGGGTGATCTGGATGCTCCATGCTGCCCATCACAGAGATTCCCTCCCACAGTCCCACCTGGTTCCTCAGCAGTGATTCTGTCCTGGTGACAAATGGGCCTGGGAACCAATTCACCGGGGGCCCCAGGGTGGGGCCCGAGCTGGGGTTCACCTCGGCTTGGGTCAAGTCCCCGCCCTGGAATGCCTGCCCCAACAGGTGGCCAAAGCTATTCTGGGAGGTTCTATGAATAGCTTGTTGCAGGGCCTTGTTCCAGGACAGATTTAGATTTCTGACAAGGCCCTTCCAGGCTTCTCTTAAAACGGCCAGGAATCTCCCACTGGGACTCCAGGCGCTGGGAACCGGGCACATTCCTCCTCCACATTCTCTCCTCCTGCGTGTCTGGGCAGGGCCGGGGTGGGCAGTGCAGCCAGGGCTGGGGGGTGGGGGCGGGGGCTGAATTACAGAGGGCCACAGTGACGCCGATCACCGTGCCCCAAATCTTGGGGGCTAAAATATTGGACCCATTCCACAGAGAGGAAAACTAAGGCCAGGGAAGGGAAGAGCAATGTGGTACTAAGGCTAGTTTTCCCACGGTCCCCTGAAACCACAGAATGTTGGGGAAGAAAGAGCTTGGGGCCTCTCTCATTTGGGGTTTAGTCCTGGCTCCACCAAATACTCCCTGAGCGACTATGGGCAAAGGGTGTACTCTCTCTGGACCTCAATGTGCTCATCTGGAGAATGGGCACAAAGGCCCCACAAGGAGCTGGGGTTGGTCAGCACAGTGCGAGGCTGTAAGGCTTCCTCTGGCTCAGGCTCACCTGTCGGCAGGGCCCCCAGGTCGCACATAGGTCAGGACAAGTGGGCGACACCTGTGGCTGTCTTCATGGGCCCCTCCTGGACGGAGTTCAGCAAGAGGCAGAAAATCACCTACCCACGCCTTTCCTGATGCCCAGACACCCTGACCCAGGCCCTACAGGGCTCTCCCCATTACATCTGTTTGAGGACCTTATCCTTGCTACTCACAGACCCTCTTCTGAGATACCGGCTGTAAATCCCACCTCCCGCCAGCCAGTAGAAGACATGGCCAAAGTCCTCTCCCTGCTAACTGGCTTGCTTCCCTTCCTTGGATCTCATCCTGTTTCCCTTTCGGCCCTGATGGCTAGGCGGCTCCAAACTTTGCTCTCAATCTCAGTGGCACCACCATTTTCTGAAACAACTTTTCCCTCACACTCCCCTCAACCACCTACATTTCATTGCTTGGCAGCATTTTCCATTTAACACTTGGCTTAATAGTCCTGGGTTCTTTAAAGTCAGAAGCAAGATATAGATGACATATCCGATTTGTGCACAGGTTCATTAAAGCAAAACAGAACATACACAGAATCAGAATTAGCCACTTTCCCGCCCCCGGCCCAAGGGTGACTCTTACACTGACCTCTCAGGACAAAACCAAAGCTATTGGCCTCCTTGTAGAGTGAGACGTCCACTGTCTTTGACATGATCCCTGGGTTGTTCTCAGGGGCTAGAGAAAAACGGAGGACTCCCTTGAGTCTCTCAGTCACATCGCTGAGCTGGCAGATGTCCCCAAAGCTCGTTCCAGGAGAGTTGGGTGACCAGTCATGGAGACTATAGGAAGGGCAAATTCCTCCCCATTTAACCGGTAGGACAAGTGAGGCCTAGAGGGACCCTTTTCCTAGTACCCACTTTGTCCATCACCTGGAGAGAAGAAAGGGCCTGCCCACCCTCACACAGAGACGATGATGGAACTCAGGCTTGAATCCATGGCTGGTGGGCTCAGGCCAGGGTTGAATTTAAACAGTTACCCAATTTCCAGGCCAACTTTGAAAATTCAGAGTTAGGCCACTGTGCTCTATGCAGGGTGATAGGTTGGGGAGAGCGGTAGGGCAGGGGACAAGTTATTCAGCCAATGTTCCCCAAACTTGTCCCCTTAAAGGAAAAAAAAAATCTGCAAATAAATATGTAATATGACCGTGAATTATAAACAGGGCCCTGCCACCCCCTGGGGACAGCATCCTGTGGTGGCAGGCAAAGCCCCTGGGTGAGGGATGGATGTCTGTGGTCAGTCTCCAGGTCCCACCTACCCCATCTGGCACGATCCCCACCACCCAGGCCCTGGCAGGGAGGCGGCGGGGTTGTCCACCCACAACCAAGGCAGCGGAGAAAGTTCCCCGTCCAAGGGCACCCACCGGGCGGGGGCAGCTCATACTCCACCTCCAGCACCACGCGCTCGCCCACGTTCTTGAGCAGGGTGATGATCTCATCATGGCGGAGTCTGGTCAGGTGGATCCCGTTCACTGACCGAATGTAGTCGCCCACGTTCAGCAGGTCACTCCTGGGAGCAAGGAGGCCAGAGCACAGGCATGGTGCCGGGTGCCAGCATTCACACCCACCCTCCCATGGGATCCTTATGTCACCCGGATCCTCGTTGTACAGAGGGGGAATGTAGGCTCAGAGGTCAGACAATGTCCAGGGTCACACAGTGAGTGAGTAGGACAGCGTGGATGCTAACCTAGACCTGTCTGACACCCAGGCCTGGCATTTCCCCCAAGGCCGGTCTGCCTGCCTTCCCTCCTACTGGGGGTCACCCTCCGAGCTCTCACCAGCTGCAGGCGAGCCTGCAGAGGGGCCAGATCACCTCCTTTGCTAGTCCTAACGCTCTTCCTGCTTTTCACCACTCATCTGTTCTGTTCAACTGAACACTTGTCAGTGCCCGCTCCATCCAGAGAGGCAGCGATGGAGAGGCTGACTCCCAGGTTTCATGGAACTCATGGTCCAAGGGAGCCAAAACAATGGGGAAATCCAGGGCAATGTGTATGGAAGTGGCACATGGGGCTGTGTGAGCAGAGCGACTGTCCCAGCCTGGGGCTAGGGGCTTCCCAGAGGCAATGTGGAGGGATGAACAGGAGTCTGCCTGGAGGCTGTCATGGGGAATGAGACTTCCAGGCAGAGGGAACCGTATAGGCAAAGCCTGGAGGGCCTGGCTGGAGGAGGCACAGTGGCCGAGTGAGCACCTGCTGTAAAGGCAAATAGAGGAAGCTGGGGCCTAGAGGTATAGCCCCCGCTGCAGGGCTTCCTTCCGCAGACACCGAGCTCTTGAGAGCTTCTGGAAACAACTGCCTGATTGCTTTACCCAAAGCCCTAGTTCGTTTCCCACTGGCCCCTAGCCCCCTCCTGCTGCCCCCACCAAGCCCTCTCTCACCTGGCCGCCAGCCCCCCGGGCCTCAGGTTGGAGACCCTGGGCTTCCCATCCTTGTCGGTGCCACCTGAGATGGTCAGGCCCAGCGTGCTGCCTTCTTTCTTGATCAGCTCCACCACGGTGACCCCTCGGAACTCCTCTGCTGACATATGGAAGATGAGGGGGCAGCGCGGGGCAATCTGGGGCCCTCGGCGCCAAAACAAGTGAGGCTAACACGTTAGGTAAGCAGGGCACGTGGCTGCATTACGCTGGGTGAGATATTTCCTTTTTACAGATCAGAGAGGTTATGTGGTTGGTCAAAGGTCACAGAGCAAGTTAGCAGCAAAGCCAATGCTGTCTGACCCCCACCCAGAGCTCTCTGTACCTCCAGGACAGAGAAAGAGGAAGGGGAAGGAGAGGGGTTCGGTACCTGGAATGCTCTGTCTGCGGCAAGCCAGGGCCACGTCGGCGCCTCCTGCATCCTTGCCTCCTTTGGAGTAAGGCCCATCGTCTGCAGGCAAGAGAGAGAGAGAAAAGGCCCAGAGCTCCATTTTCATTTCCATTCAGGCCAACCTCTCATGGGTGTGGCCTGAAAGAGGGGTTCCTTCCTGCCACAGGCTCCACCGGTGTCTCTGCTGGGGGATCCTGGTGGCTTCTCCTCCCAAGGGCGGCTCTATCTCTGCTCTTGGGGCTGAATAACATTCTTTTGAACATTCACACTGTTCTGTGGTTAACCATCTGCACAGCCCTGTGGGGCTGGTATTATTATTATGGGTAATATTATTCCATTGTACACGTAAGGAAGCTGAGGCCCAGAGAGGGACAACTCATGCCCACGGTCACACAGCTGGGGAGTTACGCAATGTGGGTTAGAACCAGGGTCTGCTGACTGCACCACCTGAGGCTGTGCTTGCACACCTGCGGGGACAGGGAGCTCCCTCGCAGGCAGGTAGGTGTCACAGCCCATGGGAGACAGTGCTGGCCCTGCGCAAACTCAATCTGCAGTGGCCCAATGAATGACTCCTCATGAGGACTGCACTTTACAGTGTACGAGCCATATTCTCAGGCATTCTAGGCAGCCCAAGGTGAGTCTGTCTCACCTGAGCCTGCACGTGCTCCCCCAGCCCGGGCGCTTGCCCTTGAAGAATAACCTTCCTGCCACCTTCACCCCTGCAGCACCAGCTTGGCCCAGTGTTACGATCATGGGCTCAGGGCTCAGCCTGGCCTGAGTGCATATCCTGGCTCAACCATTCACCCGCTATGGGGAGATCACTCTTCTCCCCTCCCCAGCCTCCTGGCCACAGCAAGACCTAACCACTAGATGCCAGTAGCACCCCACCCCGGCCGTGACAACCCAAAATGACTTCACACATTGCCAATGTCCTCTAGGGGAGCAATATTGCCTCCCCACCACACCCCCCACTCCCCACACACACACCTTGAGAATCACTGCTCTAGAGCAGCGTCCGCCAACCTTTCAGACCTCACAGACCACCGTTTGGCCGCCGCTGCTCTAGAGTGAGGGTTGCAGCTCAGTCTGGGTCTCACAGAGCCCGAGTGCCCTCACTCCGCTCTGCAGGCCAGGGCTGAGCTCCCTTTGCTTGCCAGAAGGAGGTAAACAGCAAATCAAACAGCAGTTAAACCCGGAATCATTTCTAGGGCCTCTGGAGTTGGGCGCCCAGCAGCTCTGCTCACCCCTCTCCCCCCAGGCCCTCTGTTCACACCAGCCAGCAACGATTTAGGTAACACCCCATTAAGTATAATGCCTCCCATTACAGTTCTCTAACTCGCACTTCATTTAGATTCAACAAGATGTTTCTGAGCTAATAAAATTAATAAGATTGGGTTATATCAACTGTGCGACAGCGAACGTCTCTAGTATTTCATGAGGGCAATTCTGGAATTGAAATCGGTCTTATCCTGTGCAAATGAGATTCTGCCACTGGGCAATCCGGGGCAGACCAAAGATAAGCTTGCTGGCTCCAGGGTATGAGTCTGGGGATGGTGGAGGGGGAGATGATCTCTTAAGGAAAGGAGGAAGCTGAGGATAAATTCGCCAAATTCAGAGCAGTAGGATCCCAAAGAATAGAGTGGAACAACAGTGGGTTAAAGGTGGAGTTTTGAACCCCGATACTAAAAACAAAAGATTCAGAGTCTGCCCAGCTGGCATGGCTCAGTGATTGAGCGTCAACCTATGAACCAGGAGGTCGCGGTTCGATTCCCTGATGCCCGGGTTTCGGGCTTGATCCCCAGTGTGGGCGTGCAGGAGGCAGCCGATCAATGATTCTCTCATCATTGATGTTTCTATCTCTCTCTCCCTCTCCCTTCCTCTCTTAAATCAATAAGAAATATGTGTTTTTTTAAAGATTCAGAAACTAAGACTGAGGAACAATACAGGATTCTTTCTGAAGCAAAGGATGCAGGATGCTGGCTGCCGAAGGCCAGGACCCATTCCCCGAGGTGTTTCTGGAATCCTCCAAGTGTGTCCTCTCCCTTCTCTCCTCATTCCAATATTCAGATCTTGCTCTAGTGAACTTCTCAGTGCTGAATTGAGCTGCAGGGACATCCCTGGGACAGCGGAGACAGCTGTTTGTCTCAACACTGAGTGGCCCCAACTCCCTCCTTCTACAACTTCTTGCTGGCTTTGGGCTGAGGCTGTGGGCCATCTCTTTTCCCAGCAGTCAAGCGGGCCTGACAGCGTGCTGCAAACCAGGGTTCATACAACTGTTTGCAGACAAAGAGTCAGTGGGCAATAAGCGAGGACGTGAGCCTACTCTAGAGAAAGGCACAAGCGTTTTAGGCTGTGGCTGTGCTGACCTTTTAGAGGTGGAGGCCACTCTAGAGAGGTGAATTGCCGGATAAAACTGGCTATCTAAGACCCACTGCCATATTCAGAAAGGCACCCATAAGGAATGCTACAATGTTTGCTGATTCCTGTTCAGAGGGGACATAGCATACCACTGTCACAAGC